CGAATGTAGGCTTGTCAATGACGAACTGCAGATCGGTGATGAGCGCAGATGCGAGCGCGGGTCGTTGTGGCACTTCAAGGATATTCTCCGTATCCTCCAAATCGTCAGGAAGCTGATCAGGGCCCCAGAACAGACCTCGAATCTCCTTCATGCCGTTCTTGGCCATGACGTAGAACCGATCGATCCGCTTCTTCCAACTTTGTGCGTTGTATGCATCTAGTCTTGCCCGCGCTTCTTGCTCGACGACCTTGGAGGATCCGGTAAGGCCGACTCCTTCGCCATCGGGGTCGTATCGCGGCGCTCTGCCCCGTGAGCGTTCATCTCTGCTGCTAGGTCGTCGTCCATCTGCACTTTGGCTCCTGGCCCATGAGGCGCCATTCTGCTGCCGTCCCCTGTTGAAGAGTGAGCGAGCACGCAGCTTGCCCGACTCTTTCCTCGACTCTTCTTCGCGGACCTTTTTACTCTTGACTTCGAAAGCTTCTTCACGGGCGAGTCGTTGCATCTGCTCCACTCTACCTGCGCGGTAGATCATGCCGAGCTTCCACTCAAAGGCGCCATCTTCCATCTCGAAGAGTAGCGAGCGTGTCCGAACAGATACCTTTGGAACGTTCTTTGGTCCACCGGGGACCTTGTCGAGGATGTACTCGTTCGTACCCGTCTTGAAACGGTGGTGAAGCTGCTTGATCGACTTGAGAGTATTAATGATGTTGTCGGAAATCTTATTGACCTGAACCTCGTGGGGTACGGCAAATCGAATAGCGTCGGAGTTGACGTCGATCATCTTATCTTCTTGGAACTCACCACCTGTCAGCTTGCGCCGCGACTTGCGATAGTCGACACGGCCTCCCTTGATGCTGACCATTCTGGCCCAAGTGCCTCGCATTCGGGGTGGTTGTACATAGATTCGAACGAGCTTGGATGCAATGTACGGCGAGGACCACCTATGCCGGCCAGCCTCGACACCATAAACTTGGACCATTAACTGAGGATCGTTTGGCAATTCAGCCTTGATCTGTACCAGGGCCGCCTTGAGGTCGATGGCTACAAGCTCAGGCGTCAAGGTGGAGTAGTCGCTCATGTCAATAAAGGGAGAGCCTGGTGACATGGGAGGAGCCAGGAAATCGGCATTGCCGTCTTTCCGGGGTGTCGTTGGCGACATCGGCGGCGACGCAACATCTTGGCCTGACCTCATGAAGGCTTTCCGTAGAATCATGATGGCAACACCAACCGAGTAGTGGCGGAAGAGAGAGTACTGCAGAAGAACAGTCCGTATCGCGGCATGAATGTGGAAAATCGGCCCCTGCTGGTCACTCATGGCCTGGAAGGCCACCTCAAACCGCGGCATGTTGACAAACGGCTCCAGCTCGACCCTGTCTTCTGATTCAACAATGTAGGCCTCGAGGCCGCGGACGTGAAACGTGACCCTCCGACCATCACCATGGTTCTGCTGCTTCTTCCTCGGCGGTGGTGAGATTGGACTCTTGAGCAGGTCCGAGTCAGGGGCCACTGTACGGCTATTAGCCCTACGCCGCGACGGCCGCCGTTGAAGCCCCTCGAGTCTTTGCGCGCGGTACTCGGCGGAAAATTCGTCAAGCTGGAGGGATACCCCGCGAGTATCGTCCGAGATGTCTTCGTCGATGCCCGCAATTTCGATGCTGAAGTCTGATGCTTGGAGCTGAAACTGCAACAACCAAGATGGCATTGCGCGAAGGAAGTTTTGCTGCTTGGTCGACGTGTGCGAGTTTGAACGCTTCTCGGGCTCGACATTCAATCTCAGCTGTCGCACGATCTGTCTGAGACCGTCGGTAATTTCGGGGCGCACCATCTTGATTGAGAAGGTCTGCAAATTGCTCGAGGCAACGACATGGACGTCTGGCGTAGCACTGAGTTGCACCTTGAGCTCGAAGGACTCGGTCTGAATCAAGTCGAATCGGTTACTCGATGACGTCTGATAATACAGTTCGTGCGACTGAATCCTCATGGTTGACGCAAGCGAGTAGTGCAAGTCCTCCACCGTAGAATGGAACGATTCCATATCGAGTGATATGGACGAAATGGAGGATATAATGAGGTCAAAGTCGTCGGGCGCCGCCTGCTGGTCGACTGCGGGCAGGGCGACTCGGAGAACAGGCTCGTGCATAGTAAACTTGATATTAGCCTTGGGCAGGAGTCGTGATATGAGCACATGCCGCGGTTGGCGGCTAGATCGTGACCTCTTGGAGGACTTTGGCTTCAGCATGGCGACGAGGAGCGGCAGATGGCGAGGGTCGAGATCCACCGAGGGGGAAGTTACTACGGAATTAGCGAACAGTATGTTTGCGTTTCTCTCCTCGGCTCCCACATCCTGCGCCATCTCGACCGTCTTGGACGGCAGCGTCGTCTTGACAGTCGTTGTCGCCATTGGGATGTAAAGCAATCTCTCGGGTTTCCCGTCGCCGTCGTCGACACCCACGGAAATCGACAAGGCCGCGGCGAGAGCCTCATGGGCGATGTCCTTGGACGGGAAGTACATCCTGTGTGACGGCGACTTGGGGTCCAAACGGTGCAAGTCTATACCAACTTCCTTCATCGATGCATTCAACAAGACGGGCTTGGCACTAGGCTTGACGGACTCCACCCGCTTGGTCATGCCAACAAAACTGACTGCAAACTGGACCTCCTTAACGCCCCTCAAGATGGAACTGACAAACTCCTTGGAATCGGACACGGTCTGAATTAGATCCTGGTTGGTGCTGCCAGGCTGGGCGACCTCGTGTATGACCTTGTCCATGAAGACGTCGGCTGGTTCTTCGGATAGAGTGGACGAGCGCGCGGCCAACTTGCACTGCTTGAAGCGATCGGCACACACGCGCACATCGTCGTAGGGTATATGAACACGGCCCAGCTTGAGGGCAATCGCAGCGTCCCGCAGTCCATCCAGCGCCTCGTACAAGAATCCATGGATATTCAGCGTCGCATTGTCGAGAATCTCGAGAGACTCCTTGCCCTCGGGCGTGAACAGAACGCTGCGTAGCGTCATGATCCACTCCGCCTGCCGCTGCTTCTGCTTGTTCTTGTCATTGCGAGCCTGGAAGAAGAAACGAGCGCGGTCCACCATCTTGCGCCGCGTGTCGACGGCGACCGTCAAGCTCCCAAACTGGACGTCGCCGACGTCGACGACCTTGATCGTGGAGTTCGTGGCGACGACGTCCACCATCCGCAGCCAGTTGAGCTTGCGGTGCGCCCTCTTCATCCGGTCCTTGAGCTTCATCAAGTGCTTCCATGTCTCGCTCCGGGGTGGGGGTCCTCCGTTTCGACGTATTAGTGGCACCTTGGGCTGCTCGGCAGCCGGCACCTCCGGCTCTTCCTCCGCGTCGGTGCTGCTATCGGAATCGGTCGAGCTGTCCTCGCCCTTCTTGCCGTCGAGTTCGCGAATGTCAACCGTGACGGTGAGCTCGCTGATGACGACGCTCAGCCAGGTGGGCTGGGCAAAGGTCGGGCGGTGTACGTTGAGTCCGAGGCCTCGAACCTCAATCTTGAATCCATCTCGTGGGGTGTAGGCGAGTCTCCGGAGAGAAAAGTAGCCGATTCGCTGGATCGATACGCCGGTGAGGATTCGAACGACGGCGAAGAGGATGAAGGAGGATAAGTAGAGAAGGACGACGACGCCGAAGAGGAAGGTCGGATTGAGCAGAGCCATAGTGAGTCGGCAGAACGACTCGCGCGATCGGTGGCACGCTTCGGTATCTGTATCACCACCACCATTAAGACAACGTCAGCTCCCAACATTTCCAGCGCAAATAGGGTGAATGCGAATAGTCCATAGAAAAGTAGACCATGTAGTTGAAATGGAGACACAGAGGTGGCGGCCGTACCTGGAAAAGACCCAGATCTCTATGGTATCCCGCACGTTTATCTCCGTTTCCTACAATCCGAGCGCGCCATGTCGTCGATCAACGATGCTTGGGGGTGTAGGTTCGTGGGTGTGGAGAGGTAACACTCGGCTTTGTGACAGCAGAGTTTCGGCGCCTACGCGGTTACGGTTGTCGACGAAGATGTGCAATTTAGCTAGCTAATGCGGTTGGTCGATCGCGAGTATTCAAAAGAGAGACGCGCAGGCGGTTGCAGGTGCGGATGGCGGCGGGTGACACTGATGATCGGATCCCCTGGCTGGCCCGGAAGGGAGAATGGAAATGTGGTGGGATCGGAAATGGGGATGTTGGTGGGAGGTTTTGGGGTAAACCTGGCGGCGATGTGGTGCAGAGCGGAGATAGAGAGACCGAAAGAGCACGTTTCGTTGGGGGCGGCGGGCAGAAACAAGCAGTATCAAAATTAATTGAAAGAGGCTTAGATTGGACGCGTAGGGTTTTGCCTATGGTATAGAATAAAAGTATGAAGAGAGAGTAAACCAGAAAGGAGGGCAAAGGTGCGGGCCGGAGGATGATGCAGGTCTCGCTCGTCTTGTCTTGCAGAAGAAGAGTGACGCAGTCCAGGTCGTTACGGAGTAGGTATGAGCCAGGAATTGGCGGAGGAATTGGGACTCGCGGTTGGGATTTGCGGTTGGCGAAATGCGAGAAGACGTCGTTCGTCTAAGCCCTTGTCGTTTTCTTATTACTCGGCACGAGGCGACGGCTGTCCACACGGAACCCTGCTGCCGGTTCTGGATGACAAGAGTATTAGCAGATTGCTCCTTTTCCCGAGGCGCTCCAGTTTCCGGTATCCAGTCTCCAGTTTCCTCTCCAGGCGATGAGGTACTTCCGACTCCTGGGCACTGGAGCAGCGGTGCAGTATTCGTACTCGTCTCGTCCGTGGGTGTGTGTGAGGATTGGCCCGGATGATCGGATAGCTCAAATAATGATGAGATGTAATGGGGCTTGTGGGCGATAAACGGCGCGATGGCGTACCTCAGCCAAGGTACCTAGGTAGATGTAGCTAAGCTTGCTGAGGTACCTAGTCCAGCTCAGGACAATACCCATTTGGACAGAGGACGGATACACACAAATGAATTCCAATAGCAACAGTTAACTGGTAATTAATGCGATGGCCAGAGACAGGAACGATTGGTAAGACTCGGGTCTAGACAGAATGGGGACAAGGACAGCTTGGCCTGGGCTTGACTTGGAATTGCACAGGGACGGACGGGGGCGGCGGAATCCAGGAACAGGGCTGTTGGGGAATTTGGCGGGTGGAAATGAAGAGATCTTGGTCAGAATCTCATCCACTTTCATTAATGATCATTGAACCAAAATGGTAGGTAGTCACGTAGTCTCTCTGTATTCTATGACAGAAAATATGTCATGATGCATATTGAGAGAGGAGACGTGATGGAGTGGGAATGTGTCCAATTGTCAAACAAACACCTTGCTTAGCTAAGGAAAGGTACGTAGACATGCGCCTGGAAATACCTTAGCTAAGTGTCGACTTTGGCCCGGAGTTATGGCTCCTTCACTCCCGAGTCCCCGTCCAATCGATGCAAATCCCACCCTCGGCCACTTCCGGCCTTACCCATTCTCTATTGGCTCCTCCGTCTTCCAAAGTGGGGACTTCAGCTCGCCAGGTACCCACCTTTCCCTACCTTACCTGCCAGCCACCGCGTGGTACCAGCCGTCCAGGAGCCAATGCAGCACATCGGAGATCCTCCTCCATCAACCTTGAATTCAACAATTACTTGCATCACTAACACTAACACTTGCATCGACGAGGGGCCGTGCTCAAAGTTCAACCATCAATGCGCCGCTGCATCGGACGGTACCATCGCCTTACGCCGAAAAGAAATGTGTGCCTGTGCCTGTGCCTGTGCCTGATTGTCCGCCCCTTGCCCCTGATATGGCCGAAGCTAAGGGCTGCTCCAAGGATCTAGCACATGCAGCAAGCGCGCCTCCCCCAATATCCTTCCTCCCTGGACGTACTGTTATGATGCAAGCTGTCGGACGTACGAGGAACTCATATGCAGAGACCTGGTATCGTAGACCGAGATATTGTCTCGGTGGGTGAGTTCTGGTGAGCGCGACAGGGCGCGTGGATACGTGCAAGGACCAGGAGCCTTTTCTACCCCCATTGTGAATTTCAGCCTCCCTTCACCCAGATCTAGCCAAGCTCGAACGTGCCTTTGGACAGCCTCTGGGCCGGAGTCAAGGGACCAGGATTATGGATCAAAGTCTGACCCCAGAGTCTGTGACTGCCTTCCGGTATATCATTTACATGCAAAATCTCGAAACATGTGTTTTCCTCCTGTTTACCAAATATTCAGCCCGTCAAGCAAACCCGACCGTTAGAACATCGGGAGCTACCAAGAGACTAAGCTAGCCAACGTCGAAGCTACATGACAAGTCAATGGCGACTCCAAAAACGAGTCATGCCCGACAGCATTCGAGCTCCAGCGGCATGACATCTCTATCCGTATCGTAGCTACCTACTCATATTAGCTAGCTGAACTTTCAGTCTTCTTTTCCCCGTCTTCACATCAACGCGGTTGAATCAATACAATCAATGGTCTTTATCAAAATACAAAGGCACGACCGGACAATACCCATCCCTCGGAGGATCATGCTTCATCCCAACCTCAACCTTTAACCCATCACACGTGGCAGTATCCCCATGCAACGCAAACCACGACGTCTCGAGCAAAAAGTCCATGAAACGCTTCCTCACGTGCGGCGGCGAGAGATTCTTGCCCTTGTCCTCCCGGAAGAAGACCCTCTTCCACCCGGACGCTTCGCACCACATGATGATGAGACACCACCGCCGCGGCCTGCCGATCCCGGCCCCTGCGCCGTTGCCATTACGGATGCCATTACTACTACTGCTACTGCTGCTACTGCCGCCGTGATTGATGAGGTTCACACAGAATGCGTGAACCTCCTTGTTCGCAAACGTCTTGCTGGCGTGCGCTGCCGTCTGCAGGTACTCCTGAGGATCCGCCTCCGCGTCGTCGCCAACCTGCCACGACTCCAGTGCGTCGTTACACGAAAAGAGTTGGAAGAGTAATTCTGGTGGCTTGTCGGGCTCAGCGTCGTACACTGGCAGGACCTGTTTCTGAAAGGATCTTGACATCTTGAAGCCCGGCAGCTCGGAGAAACGCGGGAAGTACGAGACCGAGACTGAAGAGCCGCGGCCAGGCTGCTGCTGCTGCTGGCGGCGCGCAGCATACCGGGCGGGCATTGACACGTTAGCCAGCGGGATCGGCAGGTTCGCCTGCGGTCTCGACCTGTGCCGTCCAAACGTCGACGTGAAGGACGTGGTCCAGAGCGGGATGCAGATGACCGTGTCGTCGTCGTCCTTGATGTCGTGCTTGCAGTTGATTGCCGCGTACACCGTCGTCGAGGAGGCCGTCTTGATGAGCGGCAGCGTCATGCTGAGCCCCAGATTCGTCATTGTGAATTCCTTTCCCACGGACCAGTTGTCGTCCGCGGCTGTCCTGCACTTGACGACCTGCCCACACCCGGAGAACGCAGAGGGATGCGGCGCCAGCAGGGTGACCCAGAGGTCGCGGCGGGGATCCATCGTCTTCTCGGTCCAGTCCCACGCAAAGAGGCTCTGGTCCGTCGAGACCTTCATGATTTCCTCTTGTAGCCTGCGAAAGGCCTCGTGGCCCTCGCCGTACAGAAGAGGCATGTGGATCTGGAAGATGCCGAGAAGACAGTACGCCGTATCCTCGGTCCGCGTCGTCTGCCGGCTGGACGCCCACGACATCCTCTTGGCGACGCAGGCGGAGGAGAGGGTCTGCGGGTAGATGAGGACGTCGACGTCGATGCCCGTGATGGAAGCAATGGGGTACGCCAGTGTCTCCTTGGTGCCGATGGGCTCCCACGTGCCGTCGTAAAACGTCATGTCCGCGGGAGCCAGCAGCTCCTGCAGCGTCCAGCCCCTCGTGAACCACCGGCACTGACGCAGATCGGCCCTTGCTACCCCGCCGGGTTCGAGGTCTTCCAGGTAGACGTAGCAGATGGACGCGCCGCGGTACCAGGCGAACATGGAGTTGATGGCCTCGGAGAGCTCGGCGCTGCTCTTCTTGTCGATGCAGTTGGTGTCGACCCAGACGTGGCTGATGCCTTCCTGCCTGGCGATGCGGCACGTGTTTGCAATCTTTTGGAACCCGCGCTTGGAGTTTGTGCGCTTGCGGGAGCCGAGGTCGTCTTCTTGCCATAGCAGCCACTCTTGGAAGGTGACCTCTTCGGGGCCCCAGGTGTGTGAGAGGATGGCGTATTTAGGGAGATCCGAGTCGAAGAAGTCTTCGAGTTGTAGTGTTGAGGTATTGATCAGCCTCATAGTGTACAGTTTATATGTACATTGATTGACGACAAAGTTCTTGACGTTTGTAGATGCTCATTGCGAGATAGCGCCGTTTGCTGATGTGAGAGGAGCGTTTGAGTCGCGCGGGCTCACTCTTGAAGACGTATCCAATCGCGTGAGGTTAGTTTGTATGCATGTCTGGCCAATCACCGTCAGCATTATGATGATGGCAGGGGTAATCTTGAGTTGGGTGCAACTCCATCTGACACTCCTCGAGATCTGCCTCCGGCAATACGCAATGTATAAAACGGATGCAGTACGAATATTAGTATAGTTAGGAAGGGTTGGTTCCTCAACGCAGGTTTGAAACAGCCTGTCTGAGTAAAATAAACGAATAAAAGTTTTGCTTGTTGGTACAATTTACAGTTGTAATGCTGACAGAGTTATACATGGTGATTAAACAGACGCACAGATGCTCGACTATCGAGCATCTGGTGGTTGAGGTGCGTCCTTCGGGGGCGGCGGAGGAGCTGCTGCTTTTGCCGCGCGAAGCTCTACAATCTTTTCGTCAATGAGAGCAATCTCAGCGTCTATCCTGAGCATCTTTTCATCAATCATGTCGCGGTACTCGTCGTCTGAAAGTTTCTTCAGAGGGCTCCAACTTGATTCGAAGATGCTCTTCTTCTTCTCCGTGACCTCAGGCCGGCCCTGCGACGCGTTCACAAAGGCCTGACCCGTTCCTCCGATGAGAGAGAATACGATGACTCCTGGAATGATGTTTTTCGGGCCACCTAGCGAGCGCGTTAGAGACTGTCGATAACTCAAGACCAATGGGTGCTCACGAATCAGTCCTCCGACCATTCCTGCCGTGCCTCCTGCAATGGCACTTGTTTGGATCTTGGATGAGTTGGAGAGCTTCTCTTCGCCACCCCACGCGGCCATCACCACAGATCTCGTCACTATCGTAAAACATTCAGTACGTACTCATGAATAATGTGAGAATTGCGGCAACATACGCCAGTAACTTGAACCGAGGGCGAACCACTGGATACCAGATGCTACCGCGAACAGAGCTGGTGTGGAGTCCCGGATAATGCCGGCTGCAATGCCACTGAACACACCGACGGTACCTGTCGGAGATGTTAGCCATAGAACCGCAATCTGTATCGAGATGAGACAACCTTCAGATGATCAATCTGATGGGATCCTATCTCCGACGCCCTCACTTACCAGTCATGGCGCCAACTTTCAGGGGCGGACCCAAGAGGTCGACCAACCCTGGTGGCAGCAAACCTCGAGGCTGCCGCCTTGGTCTGGGCTCCTCTGTGCCATCCCTCCTTGCCTCATCTGACATGATGAAGGGCTGAAAGATTGGGTTGCAGCAAAAAAGGGATGACAATGAGCTGGCTTACAGTCGAAGGGCCTCGATCAGATATGTTGGTTGTTCTGGAAGCTTTGGCACGGGTGCAATACATGCATTAAACGGGGGAGTACTAATCAAGCGAGTTGGCGACGTTGTTCAAATGTTTCGTGCGGCTCAAAACGAGATTGGGCCGTGCAGACCCGATAGATGCAAGAAAGGCGGGGGTTGATTGTCAACTGCAGGCGCACATCATTCACTTTTTTTTTCTCCTTCCAGGTAGATGATCTCAAGCTTGTACTGTGTATTTGTATACGTAATTTCGCGACTAAGTTAAGGTGCTAAGGTACCAACAGCAATAAAGTGGCCACCTATGGGACAGCGCAGCACAGCACAGCAGCTAAGCACAGGGCGGTGGGCAGGGGAAATGGATGGGAATGGAGGGATGGAGGGGGGAAACACAGGCGGGAAAAACGCTGAGGCCTCAAGGCTCACCCCGCTGAAGTCACTGGAAGCACTGGGCTCTAAAACAAGGGAAAAAACAGCTGTGAGCCCCTCTTTGATTAATGGGAATTGTTCAATCACGGGTTTTCCCGGTGGTCATGGCCCGTGCATCTTTGGCGGGGCGCTAGGTTGAAAAAGTAAGCTAAGCCGCGGCGGGGCTAGTGCCTCCCACTCCTGGCCACCTCGAGAAAATTGTCCAACCCTCACAAACTTTCAATCACCCTCTGCCTCTCTGCTGCGCGGGTAAAACTTCGACCCTTTCCTCCCCCCCCCAAAAGACCACCAGCCCCAGCAAATCACCGCAAGCTGGGTCGTTTTTCACAAAGTCTACTACGTCTCCGATACCCTCTGACGTATCGTCTAAAAAAGACTTCTCCCATCTCCGGTGTCAAGAGATATCCCTTTCCTTAGGCGACATCTCCCTACCCCACGACACTGCGAAATATCCCTCGGACATTTCCAATCCTCTCCGCACCAACACTCCCACCAAACCCGCATCTTCAACCAACAGCCGTACCGTTCGGCTCTTACTACATACTCCCCGCATCGCGCATCGAACATATTCGACGCGCGAAGCCGTCTCAACACCGCAATCATGGGTTCGTCCTACCCTGCTCGTTGTCGCAAGCTGCTGCGACGTCTCTCGCTTGTACCAAGACTAACTGTGTCATCATAGCGCCTAAGAAGAAGGAGCAGGTCAAGATGGCCCTTGGCGACTTCCTGCAGGACTCCAGTCAGTCGCACCCCCTCCGATGCCTCCCCAAACAAACGCTTCCTCGACAACTGTTACCGCCCACTTCATTTCTTGCTCGACTATCGAATTAGCACATCATCGACTGACACTTTATATAGGCTACGGCGGATCATGGGCTGATGAGGTCGAGGATACGTATAGTGAGTTCATGATGTCCCAAAAAACATCTTATTAGAAGAAGATACTAACACCCTATAGCCGGTATGCCACATTCCCACGAGCCAGCCTAGCGTCTCACATATCTCGTTCCTTGCCCACTGACACACCTTCACAGGCACTCAAGCTCTCCCCGCTCCCGAGCGCGCTGGCTACCGTCCCAGCCAGGGTGGCTGGGGTAGCGGCGGCGGTGACCGTGGTGATCGTTCCGAGCGCAGTAAGTTTATCTCGAACAAGTGGAAATGAGACAACTCTAACCAGTGTACAGGAGACTACGGTGGTTACTCTTCCATCCGCGAGAACCTTCCCCAACAGCTCCCCGAGAGACCTCCCTACACCGCCCATCTTGGCAACCTGTCGTACGATGCCACCGAGGAGACTGTCAATGAGTTCTTCGAGGGCTGCGACATCATCAGCGTCCGCATCATCGAGGACCGCGAGCAGCAGCGCCCCAAGGGCTTCGCCTACGCCGAGTTCAAGGATCTTGAGGGACTGAAGCAGGCTTTGACTCTGGATGGCCAGACTTTCCAGGGACGTGCTATCAGAATCAAGGTTGCCGATCCTCGTAAGTACATGTCCAGAGGCCATCCTCAAATTAGCTTCTGACACTTTTCACAGCCCGTGGTGGTAACCGTGACGGCGAATCCAACCGCGACTTCAGCGACTGGTCCCGCAAGGGTCCCCTGCCCGACTTGCCTGGACGTGGTGGAAACGATCGTCGCCCCTCCGACTTTGGCGAGCGCCGTGGCCCCCGTGAGCCTCGCGAGCCCCGTGAGGACGACGGAAAGGTCCGCGACTTTGGCAACTGGGAGCGCAGAGGCCCCCTTTCCCCCGTTGCTCCCAAGGAAGGCTCTGGCTCCCGCGACGGCAGCCGTCCCCGTACCAACGATGGACCCCGCGAGTTCCGCGACCGCCGCCAGTCCCCTGCCGCCTGGGGTGAGGGTCAGGGACCCCGCCAGGACTCCCGTCCTCCCCGCCCTGAGAGAGTCCCCACTGCCGCCGAGACCGATAGCCAGTGGAGAACCAAGATGCGCCCCGATGCTGCCCAGTCCCGCGACGGCAGCGAGGCGCCTTCTTCCCCTTCAGCCGCCCCCGCCGCCCCCGTCGGCCGTCCCAAGTTGAACTTGGCAAAGCGCACCGTTTCCGAGGCTCCCGACGTTACGTCCCCCTCCGGAACTGACTCCAAGGCCAGCCCCTTCGGTGCTGCCCGTCCCATTGATACTGCCGCAAAGGAGCGCCTGATTGAGGAGAAGAAGCAGCAGCAGGCCAAAGAGAAGCGCGAGGCCGAAGAGAAGGCCAAGGAAGAGCGTCGCGTTGCCAAGGAGGCCGCTGCTAAGGAGGCCGAGGAGAAGGCCGAGCAAGAGGCCGCTGCCAAGGAGAAGGCTGAGAAGGAGGCCGCTGAGGCTCCCAAGGAGGAGGTCTCCCAGGAGACTGCTGCTGACAAGGAGAACGGCACATCTGAGGAGCAGAAGATCCCCGTCAGAGCCAAGGAGCCAAGAGAGCCCAAGGAGGCCCCCAAGTCTCGCGCTGCCGAGGCCAACAGCTGGAGATCATCTGGTGCTTCTCGTGGTGCCCCTACCGGACCCAGAGGTGGACGTGGTGGACCCCGTGGTGGCGGCCGATTCGAGGGAGGCCGCCCTCCTCGTTCCAACGGCCCTGCTGAGAAGCAGGCTCCGGCTGCTGCTGGCAGTGAGTCTGGCGATGCTGCCCCTGTGGAGGACGATGGTTGGACCACGGTCCCCAACAAGGGCCGTCGCAATGTTGGACCCCGTGGCACTGCCTAGGAGGTGGGCGTGCACAGTCCGTTCATCCTTCAGCGTCCGGTTGGATCCAGTGCGGTCAAGGCCGCAGTTGAGTCGGCAATTATCGCCGAGAAGATGCTCCCACGTGTTTGCTTGCGGGGCCTAGACGATATTTCTCGTCATCACATATACCCAGACGACTCCGAATACGATTCTGACGAACGACTTTACGCCACGAACCGCTTACTTGGGGCTTGAAGGGCATGGATTCTCTATTTCGATACTTTGCTTTTCGACACGACAATAACTGGCTCACTAAGGATTTGCTGAAGGAAACAAAATCTTTCCTTTTTTACTCAGCACCCTCTGCGGTCTTTGGCTCAGGTGGCTTGCCATCATCCTCGGGCAAGAAATGTCTCCTCGGCTCAACGACTGGAGAAGGCGCGCACTTTCGCACGCATTCATCGGAGTTTGCGAAGTGGTTACTAAAAAAAGGGCTCATGGAAGTTGGAAGAAAAAGGGGGCTCATGACCATGCTGTTTTTTTATTCTCGCTCACTTTTCCTTTGTCTTCACTCTCCTCTGCTGTATCCCCGAGACACTTTATTGCCCAAAGGGTTCTTGGGGATCCAGCGAAGTAACAGTCCTACCTACCATACCGATCCGCCAGGATTCGACTCAGCTCTTAGTCACAACAAGGAGCTACAAAGGAATCCAAACACAAAAATTCTCAACCAAAGTTCTACTTACTCTTTCCTCCTCTTTCTCCCCTCCTTGTTTTGCGTGCAACGATAGATGATTCGCCCTGAGTTTATGAAATTCTCCTCCAGACGTATGGCTTGTCTACGTTTCTTTCATGATTGTTCACGCTCGTAAACCCTTTTTTGAGATGTCTTCTGCAAGTCCGCTTCCTTCCTTTCTCCTTTTGGTCGTTTTCTCCATCTCAACTCTTCTACCACGGCCCCCCCTTCGATACCAAAAAATGATGGCGAGCTGGCTCATGTTCTTTTCTTCTTTTTTTTGCTACCAAGGGTCAAGGGTGTGTGGTGGTTTAAAATGGAACGTATGATGATGGGTCTGATGATACGACTGAAATGGGTTTGAATGTTGTTGGGGAGTGGGTGATGGAAGATATTGATATTGGAACTCCCCCTTGGTGAGGTGTGCGAGGGGGGCAAAATAGATGATGGGCGAGGGAATTGAAATACAAAAGCATACAGTATGCGATTGCTTCTCGGACTCTCGAGTCGTGACTGTAGGTGCCAGAGTGGTATGCGTGGTTTTCATGATGTTTGCTGTTGTCATGACGTGTGGGTTGATGCCTCATTACAAGGTACTGTGAGGGGGCAGCAGAGGGTGTATGTATCCTAAGAAATTCACGAAAAACGAGAGCATGGCCGAGAGAGTGAGTGACAAGTGTTGTATTGCGAACCTTTTTAATTCCCAATTATCCACACGCTACCTCTACCAAAACCAACTTCAATTCTATAACCACATTGCCGCACTCACGACAACATACTACCTCTTGAGCGTCTTCTGCTTCTCCGCATCCCTAGCAACATTCCTGCCCTCAACCAACAACCCCTTCTTCCTCCTCACACCATCCATGTACCTCTTGGCCACATTCTCCTTATCCGCCAACTCGCCCAAATCCTCCAGATCGTCCTCGGTAAACGGAACCCAAAAGGGGTCCTGGTCAAGCACCTCGTATCCCGCAAAAATAAGCTGCGGCTGCGCGGCTCCCGACGTACGTTTTCGCATCTCGTCAGCAAAGCCAAAGGACTCGGCCACGGGCAACACAGAGTTGATGCTGAAGAAAGGTGTGCCTTCCTTCATCGCCTCAGAGAGGACGCGGCCGCGGCGGCGGGTGAGCACGTCGTAGACACGGCCCAGGACTTCCGTCGAGGCTTGGATTTCGACGGTGTACATTGCCAGCATCAACCGCGGTGACCAGTCGAGCATGCCGGAGCGGAGGGAGGACGTGAAGGTCTTGATGATTTCGCCCGTCAGGCGAGGGAGGCGGTCGCGGGCGGAGGATTCGTCTTCGGTGGGGTTGATGACCACGTCTTCGAGGAAGACGGCGATGCCGCGGACGGGTTCGTGGCAGAGCGGGCCCTGGGCCGTGGCAAGCTGGAAGGCGTAGGGGATCTTGTCGGCTACGTGGGCCGGGTGGAGGGCTTCGTCTGCTTGGGGCGCTGCCGAGCTGTCGCGTTCGGAGGAGGCTGTCTGGGAGAAGAGCTTTGCGAGGAGGCCTTCTTTTGTGGCATCGATGAGGATGTTGGGGCCGGTGCGACGGGGGCCAAAGGCGGCGATGCGGTCGATGGCGGATTTGAAGTGTTCGCGGCCGCCGCGGGAGGATTCGAGGGCGGATTGGAGGCCGGTTTTGAAGTCGTCTAGGGACATTATCTTTGCAGCTGTGAGGTCTGTGTCGACGTCGATCTTTTCTTCCCCAGGGGCGGCGTCGGCGGTGCCTGCAGAGCCATTTTCTTCGGCTGTCTCGCCTTCGGCTGTTGCGTTGTTGTTTGTGGCGGGCGTGCGATCAGAGTACATGCGTTTGATGACGTCGCCATTCTTGAGGAGGAAGTCCGTGGCGTCGGACGGCAGAGGACGGACCTGGAGGCGGATGGAGACCTGCTTGGACGAAGTGGTGCCAATGACAACGCCGCGGCCAAGGTCCTTGTTCGCGGGGGGCCGCATCTCCTCGGCGCGGACAATGGTCTCGCGGTAGGGAACGATGGGGGCGCCGGCCTGGATGTCGCAGCGGGCGAAGCGCTCCTTGAGATCCGTGAGGCAGCGCTCGAGGTGCAGTTCGCCGGCGGTGAGGAGGACGTGCTCGCCGCTGCTGAACTGCTCGTACTCTGCGCAGGGGTCGGACTGGACGAGGAGGCGGAGGCCGTGAATCATCTTGTCGAGGTCGGCCGGGTTGACGGGCTCGAGGGCGACACGGACGATGGGTTTGCCCAATGTGCCCGCCACGCCGGCGAGGTTGACGGCGCCGTCGAGGTGGCTGCAGAGAGTGCCGTTCTTGAGAAGGTGGCCCTCGAGGCCGCCGATGCCGAAGACGACGCCTGCGGGGACGGAGTCGAGGGACTCGAGGTTGCGGCCCATGAGCATGTAAAGCGCCGTTACGGTGACTTGTTTTGGTGAGGGCTGCGCGTTGGGGTTGGCCGGGGACCATTTTGGCGGGATGACCCAGAGGCTGTCGCCGACGGAAAGGGTGCCCGAGTACATGCGGGCGAAGCCGATGAGGTGTTCGGGATCGACTTCTTTCTCTTCGTGCTCGGGGGCGTAGCCGTCCAGATTAACCTCCTCGAGCGCCGTCGTGAGGTCGTTGATTCCATTTCCGCTTGAGGGGGCCGCGGCTTGGGCGCGAGCGGCTTCCGCTCTCTTCTTACGGGCGAGTTCCCTTGCCTCGTCGGCGGTCAACTGGCCCGGCTTGCGCTTGTTGTGGGGGAGTTCGCTCTCGGGAACGGAAACCATTTTGCTGACGTAGGCCACGACGGGATCTGACGGGCCGGTCTTGAACGAGATCATGGCGTTCTTGATCTCGTCGTTGATAGCATCTGAGCCAGGGACGTCTTCCAGCATCTCGGGCAGTCTCTCGGCTTGGGCAACTGGGGGTGATGGCAGGGACTCGATGACGGAAACCAGCATGGCTGTCGAGAGCGGCAACCAGGATGCAAAGACTGTGGTCAGGAGCAGGCGGGGGTCTCGGGAGCGCATGATGTGTGGCGGGATCGTTAGTCCAAGGGACTTTGTAATCTTCTCCAGCAACGTGGGGTCGCCCCTGTTGTTGTCGCCGCCGACGGTGGCTTGGTAGACCGTCCAGATAGGCTCTAGCACCAGCTGCACAAACATGGGCTTCAGGTTTCGGCCCTTAAGATGCTTCTGGCCCAGAATCTTCTTGGTCTTGGGGTCGAGGTAGAAGCTGCCCCATAGCACCTTTTCCATGACATCCCTCTTGATGCCGAGCTTCTTTTGGTATAAGCCGGCAAACTGGCGTACGGTGAACGCCCAGCCGTCAATGGCGCTGCTGAAAATGACGTTGTTCTTCTCCGGCGCAAAGTAGAGATCCTCGTCATCGCGCTCCTCAAACTGCAGCTCGCCAGACTCGGTCATGGAATCCAGACCAGCCTCTTTGGCAGCCGCCGCCTGGACGCGCTCCTCCATTCGCTCGCGCCAGTTGAGATCCTCTTCCATACGCTCGCCCTGGAAGAAACTTCCCAGCACGGCGTTGACCTGCTCGAGAATCTTGCTGAGATGAGTGTAGGCCTCGGCAGGCGTCATCTTGAGCTCGGTAATGAGGCGGTCAATCTTGTTGATGACTAGCAAGGGCTTGAGCTTCTCGGTCCACGTCTGGCGCAGGACGGTCACGGTCTGACTGCACACGCCCTCGACGGCGTCGACGAGCACGACGGCGCCGTCGCATAGGCGCGAGGCGGTGGAGACCTCGCTGCTAAAGTCAATGTGGCCGGGCGAGTCGATGAGGTTGATGAGGTACTCCTTGGCTTCGGGCTCGGCGTCGGGTGCGGATCTTCTCAGCATGGAGAAGTAGAGGGAGATGGCGGAGGATTCCATGGTGATGCCTCGGAGCTGCTCATCAGGCCTGGAGTCGAGGTACCGGATCTTGCCGGCGAGTTTGGGTGAGATGATGCCGTTTGTTGCCAAGAGGGCGTCTGTCAGTGATGTTTTGCCATGATCAACGTGGGCCAGGATGCAAATCTGGTTGCGGTCAGTCACTAAGAGACTGAACTGATGATGAGATGAGAACTTACGTTGCGCACATCTACGGCATGCCTTTGCAGGCTAGCCAGCTTGTCGGGAGTTACAACAGGCATGATGGGCGGATATGCGATGAAGGAAGAGTGGCAGAAGAGGGGTTCAAGGGGGTATCAAAAGATCTATGGACAGAAAGCAATGCCAGATGAAAGAAGCAGAGTGAATGAGAGAGCAGGTCTGAGGGTCTGTGTGATGCCTCCCTGCCTTAGCTGGTATATGAAAGCCAGTGCTGAGTATCGTTGTTTGCCCGAGGCAGATGATGTCGTTATTGACTGGGGGGTCTTTGGCAAAAGGAGCGAGTACCCAAGTGAGTTGATGATGATGATGATGATTCGGCGACTAAATTGGCCCTGGTCTGTGACTAATAGGCCGACCCGAACTGGGAATTCAGGTCAGAAGCAGGACGAGATGATGGCTCTGATTCGCCACCCTGCTGTAAGAAGTTTTGCAGGTACGAGGGTGACTCTGACTCTTGTCCCTGGTATTGCCAGACTCTGAGTGTGTATTGGGAGGTTGATATTATCCCAAAGAAGATGAGGTGGATGCACCGAGCAAACTGGTGCAGTGATGAGTAATGTTGTATAGCGTGTGTGTCTATGCAGCTCTTTTTCTTCCTTCGTCTCTTGGGGAAGGAGGGGGGATGTCCTCCAGGGCAGGCACAGGCAACGTTGGAATTACCTCAGCGGACTAACCCCGCCAAAAAATACATTCAGCCCCTCCAACGACGCATCGACCGAAAGAAAGAAAAAATTAAAGCCACCAGAACCCCTCTATAGCCGTATAGCCGCATTAACACTGTTAAATGCAACCCAAGGGTGGCCATCGGCTTCATCCCCACAAATCGTTCTACCGAGGGTGCAACAAACCCTAACTCGCCAAAAATTCACTGGCCCCTCTCTCCCAAACCCAACCGGTGCCTGCGATAACCTCAGCAAAAGCCCCCGCGGGATTAGCCAGCGAAAAGGAAATTTTCGACTCGTCCGCCGAAACCCCACTCCTGTCGAGCGAACCCCCTCCGAACCCGACCGCCCATCTGTCCTCCCAACTCCCTTCGAAGGTTGAAGACATCGCCAACTTTTCGCGCCCTTCCTCTTTCGGAACCTCGTCAATTTTTCCTATTTTTCAATTTCTATTCCTTACACTACTTCGTGTGGGAATAGTCTTTCACCGAAAAATCCACCCACCATGAGCGGCTACCAAAACGGAGAGCGGCCCGTCCGCGTCGACGACGACAGCGACGTCGAGGAGGAGGCCCTCGTCAACGACTACAAGGAGCAGGTCCAGTATGAGGACAACATTGGCGAGGACCTCGAGCAGGTCAACTCCCTGACTATGGCCCAGCAGACCGACGACATCCAGTCGCGCCTCGCCGCCGCCGCCCAACCCCTCGACTTCTCCGCGCCCCTCGAGGTCAAGTTCCAGAGCTACGACTCCTACTGCAGCCTGTTTCACTTCATCCTCAACAGCGAGGGTCCCGTCGACCTTGAGCCCCCTTCGGTAAGCTTCCTGTAGTCTCTTTTGCTTTTGTCTCCACATGAAGCCATACCATCGCGAATAGCATCACCAAACGTGGACTAGGGAAGCTAACATGTTTTCAACAGTACTACTGGGCCTGGGACGTCATCGACGAGTTCATCTACCAGTTCAACTCCTTCTCGTCCTACCGCATGCGCATCGCCCGCCAGGGCAACAACGAGGAGGAGATGCAGGTCCTCAAGGAGAACCCAAACACCTGGGGTTGCTACTCGGTCCTCAACGTCCTCTACTCCCTCATCCAGCGCTCCCAAATCACCGAGCAGCTGGCCGCCATGCGCCGCAACGAGGACCCCATGGCCGTCGCGGGCGAGTACGGCTCAAAGAACCTCTACCGCATGCTGGGCTACTTCTCCATCATTGGCCTCCTCCGCGTCCACTGCCTCCTCGGCGACTTCAGCCTCGCCCTCAAGACCCTCGACGACATTGAGCTCAATAAGAAGGCCATGTTCGCCCGCGTCATGGCCGCCCACTTCACCACCTACTACTACGTCGGCTTCTCCTACATGATGATGCACCGCTACGCCGACGCCATCAAGATGTTCTCCCACATCCTCGTCTACGTCTCCCGCACAAAGAACTTCCAAAAGAACGCCCAGTACGACTCCATCACCAAGAAGAACGACCAGATGTACGCCCTCATCGCTATCTGCGTCGCCTTCCACCCCACCCGCCTCGACGACACCATCCACTCCGCCCTCCGCGAGAAGTACGGCGACCAGCTCCTCAAGCTCCAGCGCGGCGGCCCCGAGTCCCTCCCCATCTTTGAGGAGCTCTTCCGTTCCGCCTGCCCCAAGTTCATCTCCCCCGTGCCCCCAGACTTTGAGAACCCCGAATCCAACATCGACCCCGTCGAGCACCACCTCGCCGTCTTCATGGAGGAGGTCAAGATCAACATGATGAGCCCCACCGTCAAGTCCTACCTCCGCCTCTACACCACCATGGACCTCAACAAGCTGGCCGGCTTCCTCGAGGTCAAGCCCGATGAGCTCCGCTCCTGGCTCCTCGTCAACAAGCAGCGCACCAAGCAGTTGCGCTGGACTGACCACCCTAGTCTGTTGGACGGTGACCTCATCAACGTCAGCGACCTGGACTACGCTATGCAGGGTGTAAGTAATTCCGGGAAACTACAGCTTCTAACATGAGCTGATTGTTGTCACAACAATATGCTAATCATCACATTCTAGGACCTGATCCATATCTCGGAAGCCAAGGTTGGCCGCAAGCTGGTCGACTGGTACCTCCGTAACCTGTCCCGCACGTACGCTTGAGCGACCGTAAAGGATACGCTTCGGGTCCTACAAAACCAGCAAAGGCAAGATGGACGACCAGCTGGCCGAGAGGAAGACGAAAAGAAATGGTTTGGTAGCAAAAGAATACCAGGGGGTGTTTGTATGCATGTTGGCACATTGTCAATATGCAAATGCGTGTAGTTACCAGGAATCTGCCAACGAGAGGTGTTGGAAACTCCCACCCTCATCCACTTGACGTTACCTGTGGATTCGAGGTCGGAGGGTGTAACGAGGATGAAAAAGACAAAAGGGCAGAGAGAAGTGGTCAAAAATCACTTGGGAAGAAATGGGAGGGCCCGATAGAGGGATGCTCGCATTGTTACGGCGTTCAGGCGTCTTTGCTTCCTGGAACACCTGGACCTGGTTGGCTGGGCGGGATGAAGTGAACCAAGGGGAATAATTAGAATTCAAAGTACAAACGTCCATCCGAAGCTTTTCGAGGCCAGTAGAGTCGCGACAACAGCCCATGTGCTAACGGACCTCTCAGGGACGGGAGTCTGGGCCCAAAGTCGGTAGCAGTTGATCAAAATGACATACTCAAAGTACTAGGACCTCTTTCCGTTCAAGGAAGCCATGCCAGCCAGTGTCATTGAGATCTGAGCCGCTCAATTCATCGCCCGGCGGTTCAAGCCAGGGTTCCATAGCAAAGAGTAATGGCAACAAGAGCTCTTCAATATGCGCTGTTCCTCTTGACAAGCATCACGACACTTCGAATATGCAAAGTTGATGATCGTCATTATTTTCAGTCTTTCCCGCGATACGCTTGCAGCGATCAGCCCGCTTTCCCCGTAACCCTGATAGGAAGCTGGACAAGGAGTGTGCCAAGGGCAGGTTGTCCCGGGAAGGTTACAACGTTGCCCGCACACAACTGGTCGGCGGAGACCACTATCTAGAGGAATCTCTTTGCCGAAGTGGAGTATGCGTACGGAGTAGGATTTTGAAACGCGACTGTAGCGGCATCGCATCTCCTCCTATAGCACTTGCCTCAGAGACAATGAGACACTCCTTTACGAGCTATTGAGGGCAGTAGTCGCTAAGGCGGTGCTGGCGGAAAGTGTAGAGCATGAGGCGATGAGAGGGCCTGCTAGTCCATGGCGCGCATCGAAACTGAGGTAAAGCTAGTCAAAGAAACGCGAGTGACCGATGGGAACCTTTCCCCTCGATACCGCAATGATGATGCTCAAATGTGATAAAACACCCTGAGCGGAGCCAGCCGGGGAGCATAGTCCAATCTAGGTAGTGCCTCCGCACCGACGCCGCATCGGCAGACCGGGGAAATTATCGGTCGGGACGGGGACGGGATGGTCCGCAAGGAAACTGGAGCTTGATTCCCGTTTTCCTAGTGGTTGGTAGTCAAGCATGTGCCACTTACCAGAGCTAGACGTTTAATCTGGGACGGTGTCTCACGTTGTTCCTCCCTAGCTGTCCTAAATCTGTGCTCTTGTGTCTTGGCTGTGTCCCCTGCGAGTCAAATTTGGCCCTGTGTGCGTGCTTGTGCGGGTGTGTGTGCGTGCTGGCTGTCCTAGAGTTGCCAAGATTGTTGGGGTCGTACGGGTGTGAGTTCGGAGCAGCGAGTAGTTGGCATCACGAGTCGCGCTTGACGTCGTCTTTTCTGGACCGTCTTGCAGCAGCCTCCGAACCAGTAACTGGGATACTGGGACAAACGAGCACGAGAACATGAAAGACGAACGTTTGGAGCTCGGTTATTGCAGGCCGATCGGCATGCATGTCGGTCAGTACGCAGCATTACGTTTGAACTTACGCAAGCAATCGTGGTATTCTGCGTGGGTTTCTGCGATGAGGTTGCCAAACTGTACGCTCGATGGGCTTGGCCGGCACGATGCGCTCTTCCTGGTTGGTGTCGGTTGAACGTCAGATAGGGATGCTGCAGAACGCAAGCAGGAAGCCGCGCTGAACAGGATGTTTGATTACGGCATGCGTGCCGTCGCAAGACACTAGCATTTGCCGCAGGCAAGCGATCCTGTAAGACCTTACAATGCATTCAGTGTAGGTCATCGTCGACATGCGACAATGCAGGATGTCGGGGCGCATCGAGAAGTCCATGACATTGAGCTGCCTCTGACGAGCTTTTGGAAACCCGTTATCTCTCGGAATCCCGATTGGTTCCTCCATTGATTGACGGCGATGGCAGCGGGAGCATGCCATGTTTTCGACCTTACTAGATGGTCCATGGTCTCTGTGCCGTGCAACATTGATGAGTTGATATTTGATAGATAGCGAGCATACGCCTTCCCCTGCCTGCCCCGTGGCTTGAAGTAGTGATTTGGCTGGTCCATCAGTCCGCGCCAGATAGGGGACCTTGCTCCTCTGCTTCGGTGAGACTGCAGGTCGCATATGGCGATTCCTGTTTTAGCGGGGACCGTGTCGGTGAGAAGTGGTATGGGTACATGAACAAGGGCGGAGAGGTTATCGATTCCAAGGCCAACCCGCAAAAGCAACACCGGAAGATCGGGACGGAATTCTGGGCGGGAGAATGGGCTGCGAATGGCATCATTGCAGACTGCAATGGGTGCCGAATGGCGTGGAAAGGCAAAATAGTGGACGTTGTTTTCGTTTCGCCTTGGCATGGGCTCCCTCTTTTCCCGACCGCTTGTGCCTGCCGGCTTGGTGTCTTGGGAGTGCATCCCTTTTTGATCTCTATTTCCCTCCCAAGGCTTGCGTCGTTGTCTCGTCTGCAGCGTGTATCCGCAGTGTGGTCTAGCCGACCCCTCAACTTGTACCCCTGCGACCAAGACGGCTTCCTGCGACATTGATGGGTCCTGGCCAAGAGATTTGAGCGCCGAAAGAGAGGTTGCGGGACTGAGCCGCTGTCCCCATTTCCAATACGGGACCGAGCCAGGCGTCGGACTAATAATTTGGGCCATCTTGCAAACGTGAAAGAGGCACGAAAGGGTTGCGAAAGAAAGGCAAAGAGATACAGTTGGCTTGGCTCTCGCTTGGCGTACGGTTGGGCACGAAGTGTGGATTGAAGTGGATGGGCCGGATTGTCGCAAAATCGCGGACCGGGGGCTAGAGACGAAGCATGTCATCTCATTAACAAGAAGAAATGAGAAGAAGCAAGGTTCGCAGGCGAGTTAGCGGGTTAGAGCGGCGCGCGCACACCGACTCGAATGCTTGTTCTCGTTCTCTTCTTTCGCTCTTGCTAGGAATCGGGGGAAGAATCAAGATTGGCCAACGTGCCTTAGTGGTTTGCCAAGAGCTTGTTGGAGGTGGCCGAGTGGCCGAGAGGGGCGGGAGAAAGGGGTGAAGTTGCAAAGAGTCGAGCGAAGGCGGCGAAGACTTCAGTCTTAGCACACGGAGGGCCGGCTGGGCAGACGTGAGAGTGCATCGACAGCGATGAAGGAAGCCTTTGATTTTTGGTTCCGTTTCTTGGTGTGAACCATCCCACATGCGCCTGGGTATCCGCAAACTGACCTTGTCGTCTGGTGTTACTGGCGCTGGTAGAGGATTGATGAGCATCCTTGAGAAATCCCGCCAGATGCGTTAAATGGCTTGGCGCATCGCCTTCAGCTATCGCTTGGCGCCATCCACGTTGGTGGGATTGCTGGACTTTTGGAGGGTTGTGACACGGAAGCGTGGTATGATTTGAACATGACGGAGGCAATGATGAACTATGCGCAGGGAGTAGTGAGCACAGTCGTAGACTTCGTTTCTGAGTAATTGTTCTCTGAACCCTAGGGCAGGCACCGCAGGGGATCGAGGCGTGGGAAGGTGGTGCTGGTCGAATAAGAAATCCGACTTTCTGTCTGACTACAGCACGTCAGAAAGTCTGGGTAGGACTATCGTGGTGTTTGGAAAGTCTAGACGGAGATGCTGCACACCCACTGGCTGCGAACGAGAGAGGATGCTATGTCGTGTTACTGCAGGTCATGACAGCGACGGATAGGCAGACGGCGAGCGAGCGAGCAGTAGAGAGCGCGAACAGCAACGGCGGCCAGTTCGTCTGTTCAAGATGGGATATCCGTGAAGGCGAGTCATCCAGAATCTGTCCCGTTGAGTATGTGCTGGACGGTATTGGAGGGATAGTCTCGGGTGGATGGGGACTACTGTACAGAGTAAGCCGTAGTGACGTGCCTTGGGAGCCAGGGAGCCTAACGTACTGTGTAAGAGTCAAGACAGCCAGCAGGGATGGGCGTTACGGCGGGTGCTTGAAAAGGGGAGCCGAGAAGCTTGAAAGCGAAGCTGGAAGTCTTGATGTGTAATTTGAGCCAGCTCAGGCATTAGAGGCGCCGTAGAGCGGAGAGGATGATTGGGCTCGGTACTTGGGGTGGTCTTGGCGAGTTTGGGGTGGTGTTCCCAGGGTTATTTTGGGTCTGGTGGTGCTGGTGCTTGTGCCGGTGCTGGTGTTGGAAGATGGAGTGATAGGAAGTCTCGGAGGCCGCGGTCTTGAGTCTGTCGTATTCCGTCCAAGGCATCTGTAGCCTGTCGTGGGGATGTGAATCTCGCAGTCTGGTTACGAAGCGAAGGAGTTGTCACAAGCCTGATGGTTGAAGGAAACAGAGTCCAATATGCATTGCTAAGGCAAGGGAAAGCAAGGCTTGCGAATGATGCGGATGAGGGAAAGGCATGCACTTTGACACTGGTCTTTGGCACTTTCCTACTATCAGAGACTCAGCCTGGGGAACCTGGCAACTGGGAAGGAATAAGATGCACCGGGGGCTCTTTCCAAGATGGATGGAAGCTGCAACCCATCGAGTTGACATCAGGTGCAGCAAGTGCAGCTGGTGCAGCTGGTGCCTGTGGGTGACCCTGGCTCCTGCCCTCTCCTTTTCCAAGGAAGGTTCAGCTGAGTGAGATAGGCATGCCGAGGAAGTCATGCCTCTGCCTTAGGTTCTTTCCCATGCATCCAAAGTACCTTTCTTCCTGCTTTACATGTCTCAAGTACCTACGTCCATCGGCTCCTTCTCTTGATCAGATCAAATTAGCCTTGTAACTCAAGTACCTCAATCCGTATTCATCTGCTCAGGCCAGACAAGCAGGAATAGGTACCTAAGAAAAGGTAGGTAAGGTACCTTAGGTAGTAAACGCCCAAAGGAAGGAAGACGTTGACCAGAACTGCGAGAGTGGGAAGGGATACATAACCCACCGGCAAATCTCGGTGCACACACAAGTCGCGACTCTCTCTGGGCCTGGCCAACGGCATCAAACAAACTCGAAATCTCCAGCCATCTCATCCCTGCGCACTTGCACCGCATTGCACCAGCTTCCCGAGCCCCTCCCCTCCTCTCCTCCACTCTTCCGTCCAGCTGTAGCGTAGCTGTGGGTGTGAAAGCAAAAAAAAAACCGAGATTCGACTCGAAGGCCTCTCTTCTCCGCCTGAGGTGTGCGCATTACCTGGCCCACCGTCCACCATCTCAACCGCAAAAGAGAACCCCCAGCCGAGACGACCCCGGCCGACCAGGGTATCAACCATCGCCAACCCCTGTTTTTGGTGCCCATTGCTGCTCTTCTCCCTCCAAAACTCTCACTGGAGCTGTGCGTCACGCCGTCACCCTCTCGAGAATTTGCACAAGCTCGAGAGCTGTCTTGTCAGGAAGAGGAGAGGAACACGGAAGAACAGAGCAAATACAACAAGCGGACCGTCTCGCATCCAGACCCAGACCGTACTTAGACTACTCCAGTCCTCCGCAACCTCGAGCCTCCCTCTACCTTGCTTCATTCTCCGAGCTTCTCATACGAATATCGACAGAGTACCGATACTGTATGTGTGTTCCGTCACAACCAACCCACGCATGCCCAGACTTTTCCAACCCCATTCCTGAGCTTCTTTTCCAGCTGTGTTGTCTCATTCTCTGCCCATTCCACGCCAGTCTCAGTCTCAAGGATATACTTTGTCCACCCCCGCATCCAGCAGCCTGGACTGCAAAGGGCCTACCAACTTCTCACGGATACTGACCGTTAGGTAGCTCTACCGACCTACTCGAGTCACATCAAGCCCGTCGCCGTGTCCAGAGAGTCAGAGACCGAGATAACGTCCTTCCTCGGCTTTCCCTCTACTGCTCCCACCCGCTAGCCAAGCTCTCAGCTCTGTTGCCCCGGCCGCTTTTCCGCCCCGTTTTCCACACACCTGAGCGGCACCAGCAACAGCTGTCATCCTGGTCAACTAACAACATCACCTGCTCACCGACCCGGTCTGCCATCACTTAGACTCTAGACCCTCGACCCTCGACTCGTACCGGCTGCGCTACCGTTCACGCCACACCCCGTCCTTCGGCTTCCCATCCAACAACAACACCATCCTCGCGCTTCCCTGTGCCTTGTGAGGCCCCGCAGGTCTTGGCGGAACCGCCTCCTACGCTGTGCCCCCTCGGCATAAGAGAGAGCTCCGTCTCTTCAAAGACCACGGCGTGCGCCTACAAACATAACTTCCTTGGCATTGCTGGACATACATATCATCTTGTT